TTTTTTTTTTTTTTTTGGGGGGGGGGGGGTTGTTTCTTTTTTTTGTTGTCTTATCAGATGCTTGATTTAGTTTAATTGTAACTTTCATCTGAAATAATTGTATTTCTGTTTATTACAATTTTATTTTTTAAAAGGGTTAATAAACGTATCTAAAAATATATTTTTTTGTGTTACAATTTTTCTATTGATCTTATAAGATCTTAGTGGTATCATTGAACGTGGGTGGGGGGTGCGGAAAGTGTGAACTACACTTGGTGACCCGTTTCAAAGGAATTACACCAATGGAATATTGTAAATTTGATAGAGCTCGCTAATGCCGTTTGTATTTTGTAACATAAATCAGCTCCATACAAGAAAATAAATGACAACAGAATAGGGTTCCGATAAAGCAGGGTGCCATCAGAGCAGGTTGTCGTCAATCAGGGTGCAACTAGAACAGGGTGTCAACACATCAGGGTTGAACCAGAGCGTGGAAGACTCTAGAGAAAATGGTTCCACTTTATCGCCAGGACTGGGGTGGCACAAGCACAGGGTCAAACCAGAGCAGGCGGGGTTAGGTAGAGCAGAGTGGTACTAGAATTTTTTTTTTTTTTTTTCCATCGGAGCAGGGTGTCACCAGAGCAGAGTGGCACTAGCAAAGGATGAAACCATAGGGGAAATGAGGATCATTTAAACAGAGTGTTACTAGAAAATCGATTCCATGGGAGCAATGTGTCACCAGAACAGGGTAGTAGTAAGACGTTTTATTCACGTTTAGTATTTAATCAGAGCATTAGGTTTTTTTTGGAAGGGGTGGGGGTTAATAAGGAATCCTAGTAGGAGAGGAAGAAAATGGTACGGGAGCGAAAAGTGACAGATAAAGTGACAGATCAAGTGGAATATAATTCACACATCAAGTGACAGATCGACTGAAAAATCAAGTGCTAGATCAAGTAATAGATCAAGTAACAGAATAAGTAAAAATCAAGTTACATTCAATTAACAGATCAAGTTTAAAATATAAAGTTACAAATCAATGGACATGTCCAGTGACTCATTTAAGAACATCAATTTACACATCAAGTTACAGATCAAAGGACAGATCAAGTGATGGATCAAGTAACATATCAAGTTACTAAAACATCAAGTAAAAATCAAGTTACAGATCAAGTGATAGATCAACTGACATATCAACTGACAGATCAACTGATATATCAAATGACTGATTAAAGAACAGCTCAAGGGAGAGATTAAATGACACATTAGTTAAAGGACAAGCAGATATTTTAACAGTTTAGTTTCTCGCTAAGAGTCTGCTATTGGCCGTGGAAGAAAAGTCGCTGGTCAATTATTATAATAAGTTTTCGGACAGTGAACATAGGTAAAACACGGATGTGAAGGCTAGACAGCAAACATTTACTTCAAACGAAGCAAAACAAAAATTTCAATATTTTAAGTTTTTAGTTCATAGCTGAATGAAACTTCCTAGAGTCTCACAAACTCCTTTAATCATGCCTACAATTAATTACTATCTACGGCCTATGGCTTGATCTTCAGCACATGGCACATGCCACTAGTTTAACGACAGTGTTAGCAATGTTAGAACGAATCAATTTTCATTTTCAAAGTTACAAACTGCTAACGTCAAAAAGAAAGTGTAAAATAAAACATAAATTGAATCCAAAAACATGGTAGTTCACAGGTCTTTGAAAAGAAATTTAGCTCTCAAGAAAAATTTTTTAATCGTCCTGATGTTGAGTGAATCCGATATTGGATAGTGTCAATGCTGCAATTAACAGCAGTCATATTTAGAACGTCAATATCTATAATCTAGATTGAGTTGTTGGCCTTTGGTTGATAGAATTGGCTTTCTTTAAGTTTCATGTGCAGAATTTAATGTATAAATGTTTTTTTTTGTTACGCTCTGGCTTCTATTGTGAGAAATAAATCTCCTCATTTAAATGTGTGGCTTGTTCACACAGTGCACAACAAAGGACGATACCATAGAGAAATACAATAATACAAATAAGACACCCAAAACAGTATCAATTCCAATTAATAAGATTTAATTCTGAAATAAAACAATTCCAAAACAAAGAAAATATAATTACAAATCATCAACTTACAGAGTATCGGAAAATTGTGTACCGGTACACATGGGCGCCCGCAGGGGGGGGGGGGCACTTACCCCTTCCCCCTGGATTGATTGGATAAATTTTTTTAGACAAAAATAGACAAAAAATGTATTAAAGTAAAGAGAAAATAAAGAGAAAATAACTAAGCTGATGTCCTGTTGCATGATATGAATTTATTTAACAATTCCCTAAATATGGTGTTATATAAATACAGATTAATAATCAAAACGTTTCAGCCTAACACTCAGCAACACACAAGTCCAAACAGTCAATATAGGATATCTGCCATCTCTCCATCATAACAACAAGGAAAGCTAACGCATCATTTCCCCTACCCAAATACGTCACAACACTCTCAAACAATAGATACAGCTACACATGAGGTGTCTAAACTAAAAATCTTTTCCCTATCAAACATGACAACAGTGATCTACACATAACAACAGTGTGTCTCATACCCTTGAGAATCGACTTTAAAGAACATGACATAGGTTTAGATTCTAGAGTAATAATGTTACCTCTTGTTATGAAACAGGTTTAAAAACACAAAAATGCGAAATAACACAAGAAAAAGAAGGCAAAAGGGCTGTATGTCAAGACGATCAAAATCAGTGCGAATGTCAGCAACTTTGCATAAAAGAAATTATAGAAAATATCTGGTTGCTGGGGCAACAGATACCCTGAAGGAAGAACAGTTCGTTTGTGAAGTGGCTACAAACATCAAAAATACTTTTGCTGGCTTTACATACAATTATCTTTTGGCTAAAATACAAAGTCGAAGCACGACAAACAATTTGAATCACAAGCTTCTTGGCGGCAGAATAGATCTGCCTAAAAACAACAAGACCTGACCTCAACCACTTTTTTGGGGCACTACGCCACTCTTTCTTGGCTCTGCGTGGTTTTTTCCATTATGGTCGCATACCAGTGAGCTGACCGTACCAAACCTATAAATGATGCGGGTGACTGGGGCTTTCTGATAAAGCAAAGAGCGCAATGCACGATTTAGCGTTTCCAATGTATAGGGCAGAGGGCCGGAGGACACTTCTAAACTAAGAATGTGCTTAAAGGCTTCCCTGTTTACAGCATGCTCACTGCTGGGCAGAGGGAGAGGATTTGGGGGGGCCTAATTCTAAGCCTACAAAAATCCCATGCGCTGTCAGAGGAAAGCTCTTAAGTGATTGAATCACATCTAACTAAACCCTCCTGAGACCTACGTAGCACCCAATTGATACCATGCCAACGATTATGAGTCGTTTGGTGGACGGATAGCTGAAGACTAAATAAGTCAAAAAGATCCATCATCTTAGTACTGGGTGAGTTCTGTGGCTGGTCGAAGAGAAACTTCATGCCGCCTTTTACAATAAAAGTCCCAGCCAATGTGTTGCAATGATCTATTAAATACAGGATTTCACGATGAAACACTGTCAGTCTGTTACTTTTGTTACCAAGGAAGTTGCGATAAAAGCACAAAAAATATAAACGTTCTGCTTAGGCTCTTATAGCATAAGTTCAAACTGCTTCAAAAGATGTATTTACTCAAATTTAAACAAAAAAATATATCACTTAATTTAAAATGAAGAACAATTTCAAACTGCCAAAAGTAGTTAGTGTTACACTTGAAAGTTCTCGAACTGCTTTTGATCAAATTCATGGAACAAATTCTTCTCCTTATCCGTCATTTGTACCTGGGAACACACGGGGCATCCAATTTCTGCACTTGCCCGTGGTTTATAATTTGAGAACACCTTCTTTAAAAGACGTGACCGCAAAACACAATTTACAGTTTAAAAAAAAATGTTTTGCTTTTACCAAAATGCTGTTGACGTTTTGCACAATAACCTAGTTAATGTCCAAATGTTTTTTATATATATATATATGTACTTTTTTCACGCTGACGGATATCACTTGAAACAACGCACACTCCACTTTGGCTCTCTAATAGGATGGGTGAAGGCAGGGGTTCTAAAATTATAGTTCTATGACCCATCTTAGTCCTTAATCAGGCACGTAATTGTACATTACAAGAAAACAGTTATACGTTACATCTACGTAACCGGACATTATTTATTTCATTTTGCCCTAATCAACTAAAAATTGTAATGTAAAAACTAGAAATAATGTTTTCTTCGTTTTTAGTTTCTATTCTTTATTTTAGTATTTCTTTTTTTCTGAAAGCAACTTAATGTGCATTAAATGGATTCATATTTTGTTCAATCTATCGACAAGCGCTCATCAGTATCTAAGGGAATGTGAATCAGCCCCCAGTTTTGAAAAACATATGTGAACCCTTGGGAATAGAAACTTAAGAGTTTAAAGAGCAACAACCATATTCCCATCGTAACAGGAATAGCGTGTATAAGAGATTCTTTTATCTTAATAGACACTTCGGGGGGGGGGATTTTTTTTTTAAAGAGTAGTTCATGTTTGATTGTTACTCTTGATAAATGCAACGTAGGTTGTATTCATTTAACTTGCGTGTTTACTTTAAAGTTAAATAGATAGAGGCATATATGCATGTCATATTACTTCTGCTTGACATATCTACATTTTAAAAAAAACAAAAAAACTTTTTATTAGGATGAAAAAATCACTAAAATGTACGCGGTGCATAAAAATCGGTTGGAGATAAATACATTGACTATTCACATGAGGAAAGTGGTGATTCTATTACTTTTGTGCTGTTGCCTAAGACAGGCATTTTCTGGTATACCTTTTATTCATTGTGTTGTAGTTGTTATTTTTTTTTTGCACTGGCGGAAAAAAAATGTCATATATATTTCTATGGTTAATATTTCCTTTCTGTTAATCAGGCTATTTAACTGGTGAATTTTTTCTGAAATAATTAATTTCTTTTTTTTTTACATTTATAAGGCATATTTTTTTTTTAAATATTAAGATTTAATATAAAATAATATATTTTTTAAATTATATTTTTTGGCACAAAATCATTTGCGAATAAATATGTTAGTTTATTTTAATATAAAGGAATATACATAATTAATATAATTATGCACTATTTTGGATTATACATTATTATAACAAATTATTCCCCCTTCCTCACTGTAGTTAGGATCAAATTGTTTAAATCCGAGCCATTCGGAGCAGCTTATGGATCGATAAGACTCTCACTGAAACAAAAGCTAAGTCTAGAATGTGCGATTGAGTCTTCTTCTGGTCAGCAGTACGTGGCACGTATCACAAACGAGGAGGGCGTTGTGCTTGCAAGCAGAAGAGATACCAATGATTCCATTCTCACACATACTATACACCAAGTGGCGTGCCACGATATAGGATCGTTAACTTGTGAGCTTGAGGATCAAAGTAAGAGTGAATTGATCACTTCGACACTTTACTTAATGGTGGAAAATTGTGAGTATTTTACAGTTATAAATTAATGATAGAAAATTGCAAAAATAATATAGTTATGACTTAATGGTAGACAAAGTATTGTCAGGACTAAATATTTGACAATTTTGAGTACAGCATATCATTGCATTTAAAGTAGACAACCGTAAGTGTATTTTATGACTTAATGGTAAGCAGCACCCCGGCAGGACAGGTGATCTTTCTCTGATGCCTCCTAACTCGCATAGTCAAGGTTGGGTTTGGCTGTCTCAGGGGCGGAATGCCCCAAGCGTGCCGCTTCGCGGCCGTATGGAATTAAAAAAACCACCAAGGGAGTGTTTGAAGGCCAGTTGGATTAGCCGGGTAAGGCACTAGGGAAGACTTTATGAGCTTCGGCTTGTTAGTTTGTTGATTTGCTTAAGTAAGTTGGTTAATTGTGTTGTGTATTGCGTTAATTAAAAGAGTGAATCCAGTTGATGAAACAAATCTATTCTGACTTGTATGTTTTCCCACAATCGATTCACTTTTGTTGCATAAAATCTAAACTTGGTAGGACTTACACAATTAACAATACAGTGCCATTTAAATAGAGTTTGCTGTGCAAGGCCACTTACAATATGAAATATATGTCGCCGACCAGTTAGACCCACTTAAAAAAAATGCCCGCAGCGTACATTACGCTTTAATTACGGTTACAAAGATTGCAAACATTGAACATAACTGATGAATGTAGGAAACTAGACAAAAACAACTGATTTAAAAAATGCAAGAAAAACAAGATACTGATCATCAACTCCGGGGATTATTTCAACCAGAACAAACGTTTGAATTATTACAATGGAAAGATGTGCATGATTTTTTTCTTAATTTTAAAACTAAATTAAATTAATGTATTCGTCACTAAAAAAAAACAAAAAAACCTCTACATATTTGTGCTATGTAGGAGCGACAAATAAAATTAACATGAGGTAACAATCATTTGGATTTTGTTTATAGTGTGTTACTTGAAAGAAATGTTTTGCCAAGTAATTTTAGTAGATAGGAAGTTCACACGTTGCCGCTGAATTGTAAGGTAGGTTATTGCAGGTGTGTATATAATTATCCAGCTCAATTTCACTAAAGTTATTTTAAATATTTTCTAATTTTTTTTTTGTTGAATTTTCAACATCACAAATAAGGAAATAAAACTCCAAATTTGATAGATTTATTCTGAATGAAGTGCGTAAACTGTATTGTATTATTAAAAGAAAATGAATTAAATATATTTTAATACATTGTGGAGAGTTCGAACCTGTGTGCGACAGGGGGGGGGGGGGGGGGGGGAAACCTCACTGCGGGGTAACCGACCAACAGATCAGCGTTTGCAGCTCTAACACCGTGACGACGCTATTTCGAACGCTCGTTGTGGTTGGGTGATGGCCAGTTAAACGGCATTGGGCGTTAGAACAGATTTTAGTGTCAGCCCGGACCTGCCGAGGGGGGAGGGGCTGACCAACCGACCAATTGTTGTAGCTTGGCAGATAACGTCGTGGCGAGGCTGGCTATTATGTGAGTCCAGTGGTCAGTTAACGTCCAATTAAAAGACAGGGGGCGAGCTAGAAGGACATTAAATGACTGAGATTTGGGATTAAGATAAAAGACCTGGGAAGAAATCTCTATGGGCTCTGGACTAATAAATAGGGACACTGGACAGGATTGGACAGAACGCAGACGGACAGGGGAAGTGGACAGTCTAGGGAGAGCTACGCCGGGCGGAGGGCGAGCCGGACAGTCTACTGGACAGGAGTAAAATACATGCAGAGTTGCGAGATGAGAGAAAGTACGAGCGAAATATCAGCCCAATAAAAAGAGCAAGATTATAACCATCAAAGTGTTATTACCTGAATGTTGGCGAGAGACAGAGCGAACGAGGTTACCATCCACATAAAGTAGATAGAGGAACGAGGCCTGACCCCCGATGTCCTTGCACTATTTGTAATAATTATGTAGTAACTTTATTAAACCAATTTCAATATATAAATATATATGTAAAGACATATATAGATATGTATATGTTACATATAGATTTATATATAGATATATTCCTTTGTTCTTTAGGTTTACCCAGAACATGCAAGGGCTCCAAGCCCGATTTGAAAATGGTTGTCCCACACCATAGCAACGGTTCCTTGTCGTTGTGCGTCATTGCCGACACGAGTCGCTTCATAGACATGAAGGTGTACATCAACGGAGAGAGGTTGAAGCTCACCGACCAGCACTTCAAGTACAGATTTGACGTTGAAAGGAACGAGCCGTCCTTCATCCACTACACCGTCCACCTTATTGTCCTAAACGTGGCTACGGCAGATTACGGAACATACATCATCACGGCAACCACAGGAGGAGATTACGCTATAACTTATACGGCCCAGATTGATGGAGTAGGTATGAACTCCTTTGGCCCCTGCATTTTATGTATTTAATTAAAAATTGAACAATGCATTAACTTACACGACATACTGTTCTAAACTGACTAAATTGCAAACTGCGTCTGATAACTTCCCGATGGACAAAAAAAAAAAAAAGAAAAACATTCAATTAAAAAAAAAGAATATTTTATTAAAAATTGAACAATGAATTAACTTACACGACATACTGTTCTAAACTGACTAAATTGCAAACTGCGTCTGATAACTTCCCGATGAAAAAAAAAAAAAAAAAAGAAAAACATTCAATTAAAACAAAAGAATATTTTATACTAGTTATAGCTCGCCAACCATTGGCGACAGCAATGAGTTAACTTCCCATTACTCAAGTTACTTGACAAACACGAACCTGAAACAATGCAAACTTCAGAATTCTTGCTACATCACTCCCCCGAAAAATTAAATGTTTCATTTTGACTTGGATAACAGAGTAGCTCTTAAGTTTAATGTCCTTGAATGTTTAGGCTTGACCATCGGTTCTTAAGCGTTGGGTCATGAACCCTTTGGGGGGTCAAACGACCCTTTGACAGGGACTGTCTAAGGCAATCGGGAAACATATTTATTAATTAGCGACAAATAAAAAAAAGAAATTTTTATGGTTGCGTAACCATAACATAAGGAACTGTATTACGGTGTTGAGGCATTAGGAAGTTTGAGAACCACCAGACTAGAGAAATACCTTATAATAACCATAAAAAATAGGTGGAGAAATAAAAGCTTGACAGAGCGTTCGGTAAAAAAATGAATTGCTCAAATCCACAAAGCGCACAATAAGCACAATATCCAGTGCGCGACATTTATTAGTGAACTCCCAGGCATGACGGTTACATTTTGAATTATACTTTAAAAAAAAATATATTAACAATTTGCAATGCATAGTCAACTATATAATCCATAAAGAATTAAAGGATGAGTTCTTTTCTCATTTGTTTTTCATATTTTGCTCAAACTCACTACAACATCATATAATTTGTTTTTTCCTCTTCAATATTCTGTTATGTTCACTGTTCTTTGCTTATCAATGTTTTTTACAAACTCAACTTTTGTAACGTTTGTGCATTAAAAAAAAAAAAGGATAAGCCCTTCTTTCTGCAACAAATCTAATTTCGTAGAAACTAATTGCAGACAGCCTAATTCCCTCTATATTACCATAGTTGTTATTACATATCAGATATATCATAAACATACGAATACAAAGACAATATGTTGTAGAATATCTTGAATGTACAAGTACAGTGTGAGCCATGTTTTGTGACTTTTATGAACAGGTAAACCGTGTCCAGGAGGGTGGTGTGAGACACGGAATAGAACATGTCTACAGCTTATGAAGACGGGCCAAAGCCACAAGAAATACAAAAGGAAATGTGAACATTTTGGCGGGACTTTGTTCAATGGGACAATACGACAGACGACACAGTATAGCAACAGTATGTAGAGCTAATATATATATATATATATATTTATATATATATATATATATATATATATAAATATATGTGGGGGGCAGAACGGTGTAAACTGAATCAATCCAAATGGATGGTGATCCCATCCTAGTGGGTGGGACGTGTTATCATTAGAACCCATCTAAGAGAAGACAAACACTAAATTTAAACCGAGTGCCTGAATAATCAATAAATTGTTCGTAACCTTAAAAAAATAGACACCAATATCATTAAAAAATGTATATATACAGTTTCCTCAGCTTCTTATTATGAAACTGAAGACAGTGGAGTCAGTTAAGCTCTGGATAAATATAAACAATCTCCAATTGAACGATGAAAAGACCGAGCTGATCCCCATTGCTACCGCCCAAGAGCAAAAATCTGTAAGAACTACCCTTAGTCTCTCAGGTATACAGATTGAGTTTGCTCAATAAAGTACGAAACCTTGGTGTCTTGTATAGAACATTAGCTATGGAAAATCACATAAACATGTTTTTCCAGGCGATTTTTCTAGAGCTGCGCTGAATTAGTCATATCGGAACCTTCTTAACGTTTGGGGCAATAAAGAGACTGATATCTACATTTATGCTATCACGCATGGCCTACTGAAATGCTATCATGGTGGGTCTTCCAGATACCCTCCTGGATAAAATTCAAAAAGCACACATTAATGCGGCTCGTATTGTTCTTAGAAAACACTTCTGAGAGAGTTGCACTGGCTGCCAGTCCTCGCTCACATAGTGTACAAAATTGCAACTCTGTGCTTACCTCATTCCTCGAAAACTCTCGATACAACGTGTTCGCCTTGAGACTTACGGAAGGCGAACTTTTGCATTTCCGGGCCCAACAATTTGGAATACTCTTCCTGACGCTCTCAGAAAAAGCCAGATACTGGAGTCTTTCAAAACCGATTTGAAAACACATCTATTTCGCAAACATTTTCTGGGGTGATGTTGTATACCATATTTTCCACCTGGCCATTATCTCCTAGATGTATATTGCCTACATTGTTTATGTTTGTAAGGGATGAAAGAATTAGAATGAGTATTCTCGTATGTAGTTTTTGTAATGTTGCGATTTGTATTTTAATGTAGTATAATATAATAGAATTCTTTTCATTTCCCTTTTAATGTGGTTGACTTTGTACCGCGCTTCAAGCCTTTGTTGATGAAGCGTTATTTTCAAATAAACTTTATTATTATTACTATTATATATATATATATTTAAATACATATATATATATAATATATATTATAGGTTTAATGTTTTGAACTTGCCTAGTTCTACTTATGAAGAGGTATTGAAATATAATCATACTTTTTTAATATTAAAAAATTATAGTTTTTTGTGATTTTTTTCCCCAAAAGTAGGATATTTTAGTCGTCTTATTTGAGTCAGCTTTAAATTAAAAAAAAAAAATATATATATATATAATACAAGGAGAAATAAATTAATAAAAAAAAAATAAATATAAATCTAATTTATTGGCTTTATTATGTTTCTTTGTTAATTTGTTTTTATTGTAAACATAAATAGATAATATTTTTTTTAATCTTTAAAAAAAGCATTATTTTTTCTAAGAAACTTTCAAAAAAAAATTTTTTACAGTACATTCAACCCTTTCATTTTAACTTTGAAAAAGAATGTAGCTACGATTATCGTACAATGACTATATTTTCTTTAACTTCTTTAATATACTTGAAAATTTTCAGACTCGTTGCTAAGTACAGATAGAAAAGACCACATAGATGTATACGAAGATAATGAAACGTGCAACGTCTACACGTGGGCCAATCATACAGGAAAAGACATTGCAGACTTCACTGCATCTTCTGACTTCCATATGGCCTGTCAGATTCCATATTGGTGTAAGGCATTTGGAATTTTTTTTTTATCTTAACATGTTTTTGTTACAATCACCTAAGTGTGCTAAAACGTCTCTTGTTTTATCTCATGAGATGTGTTTATCAAAGGCTAATCAACATATTATATATATATATATATATATGTATATTAAATAGATTATCAATTTGAGCAAATATTATAAAGAGATGATGAAAAATATTTATTTTATTAATTTACAGAATGAGACTATAATTCAAAAATTAATAGATTCCTTAGCAAAACAAACAATGGAAATGCTTAACAACAAGTTTAACAAACTATACACTACACATGATTGTTTTATATTTAATTTGTTTGAGTAACATGATTACTACTCTGACTGATATTCCTTTTAATTGCCTGAGAACTAATCTGAAGCAATTCGTTACTTTAGACGTATTAATGAGGCGTCTAAAGTCGTTTATAGATAATAGGTACTGATGTATGTTATTGTAATCATAATATTTTATTGACTTTTATCTTTATGCATTGAGGGGCTCAAAAGTTCACACATCTATATAAAATCGATTTATAATGTCTAGTTTGATTTTACCTTCAGCGGAAGTTACAGAAAAAACTCAGGGACAGATGGACCCAGTCTTATCGCCAGAGAGTTCAGATGATGATGGAATGAGCGTGTACGTGTCTGTTGGGGCTCCGCTTTTCATTGTCCTCGTGGGAACTTTTATCGGAGTCTTATGTTATAGAAGAAGAGGTAACAAAGCAAAAAAAAAAAAAAAAAAAAAAAAAAAAAAAAAAAAAAAAAAAAAAAAAAAAAAAAAAAAAAAAAAAAAAAAAAATAAAACAAAAAGAAAAAAAACAAAAAAAAAAAAAAAAAAAAAAAAAAAAAGCATTTAAATAGTAGCTACTTTTACAGATGTAGACAGATGACATACGTCACTCCAAGTGACCTTATTTCGGTTAGGGCCATTGGGGGCTGAAAAAAAAAAAAAAAGGGCCGCACGCCTTACTCGAAAGAAAATTACTGGTTAACCCTACATGCCCACGCTCCATACAAAGAAAAAGAAAAAACATCACGACACATATTAAAAGAAATGCAATCAACTTCAACATATGGATGGTTATTAAATGAAATTATATTGGATTCTATTAGCAAACTTTCCTTTACGGAGAGAACAAAATATTAAATCGTTACATTTGATAACTTTTACAAGCAATAATCTAAAATAAAATGTACATATTTTAAGTATACATTATTAAAGCTTTAAAAAAAGACAACATCGTACAATAGGTTGAAGCAGATCTCTCGTATAATATGGTTTTGATTTAAGCCCATGACAAGATTATGTTTGTATCTATTGCAAACTAGTTTAATAGATTTTAATTTAATTGATCAATTATTACTCTAGATCTATACATTTTTTTTATGCTTTGGATATATTTCAATTTACAATAGATTTATCGTATGCTAAAAAAAAATTGAAAACTCATTATTTATTAGTAAAATTTAAAAACAATATTCTATATATTTATTTTATTTCCAATAATTTCTAAATTTCGATTTTTCTTTCCAGTTCATTACAAAAGATCAAAAAGTTTTAAGTCAAGGTGACCTCAACTTTTATAATTTTTTTACCCATTTTTATTTTAGATTATGCTGTAAATATAGATACTAGTTTAAAACAAAATTGAAAATAAATAAACATATATTTAAGTACTTGATTTAAATAACCTTTGCCAAATAATTTTTAATATTTTTTTTTTCGTTTCAATCTTACTTGAAGGTTGTTGGAATCATCGTCTACAACTGATGCAGGTACTTTGTTTATTCAATAAATTCCATAAAAACATCAAATAAAGTTTTAATAAGTAAATAAAAATAAAAATCTCATGTCGATATTTAGCACTTAATTTTCATATGCTGATGTTAAAATGCAATCAATTTCTTTAAAACAAAGCGCATTTCCAATAAAAAATATTTTCAGCTTACTTTGAAAAAGCCGATCGAGAGAGTATTTATCACACACTGGAAGAGGCTGCTGTAGCAACGATCAGAGACACTGACGATGGACACGATTATGATCTGACAATAGATGAACCAGCCCTCGAGGATTTCAAGTCACCTCATATTAAACGTGAAAGCATTAAACCTCTTCCTCCGCCAAGATCATCAGAAAAGAACAAATTGGGCACCCAATGCTTTGACGTGTCTGTGTATGATGTGTGTGGTGTGCAGTGCATTGCCCACCCTGTCATGAACATCGCTGATTCAACTAGCCATGATATCGTAAGCATTCAGGAAGAAGATAGTAACCGTATAGAAAACGATTTTGATCTGCTAAACGGGGATAAAGGCAACACTATTTCATTAGAAAAAACGTTAAGAAATCAAAATGACAACACAGGAAGCTCTGAAAAAAATAAATGCTCCAACGCATCTATTGAAATTAAAAACGATACAACTGACTACAGCACACCACTCTCAACCAAAGAGGAGCACCAGTACTCTGGTTATGTCAAGGAATCCATGACAAAGGGAGAGGATTCATTACAGACGCTCAAAGCTACAATGTCATACACGAACATGATACACAAGGAAGACACATGCCAGGAACTAGACAATAAAACTCTGAGCAATTCAACTAAACATTTGAAAGAAAACCACACTCCACAAGCCAGTGGCAAGGATATCGATTCCTCGAAAAATGACAACAGCAAGTTGTTGATGCTTGATTTGGAAGACACTGAAGCATACGAACGGTGTTACAGTTTGCCGTTTAAACGTAATGATGATCATATCTATAACTCTTTCTCATGCGTTGACAGCAGCGGTATTACTTCCAATAAAGAAAACGATCCCAATGCATGCGATGTGCAGAAAGAGGAACATACAAAGAATCTAACAGACAGACGAAACGTTGAATGTAATTGTAATATCGGAAGCGATGCGTTTGAAAAATCTAGAGTATCGTATGTTGATTTGACGGATCAAGCTGACAATGCTGACCATGAAAATTTTACTTCGTCAATATTAAGTAAAGATTGTATTATGAGAGACCGTAATTCTTACACAAGTACAGACGGCGCAGTCTTAAAATGTAACGCTAATGGTTTAGCAGGGGAGGTAATTTCATCAAATGGAACGAATGTTGAAGGCAATGCGTACAAAGCACTATTTGATTCCGAAACAAATCCTACAATGCTTAATGGAGACACAATAGCAAAAGAACAAGATGATATGAATAATGAGAACTGGTATCTTCAATTCGATGGCGCACAGTGTGAGGATGTCAGTCAAATGAAACCAGGATGTGAAAGCAATGAAGAATACATGACATGGGACGGTGGAGATGTAAGCATTGATGAAGAAGTTCCAAGCAACAACACACATGCCTTTGCTTTGAGTAGCGGAGAAGTTGCGTTTAATATGACCTCAAGAAAAGATGAAACATCCCGTAATCATTGCGTTGAAAATATCGAGGAGGGTAATTCTGAAATACAAGAAGCCAGCCTCGTTTATTGGACACCTGATGGCACCAAGAAAAGGGCTTTAGGGGAAGCTAACCCACCATTGTCTGATGAATATAGTGCGCCTTATGACTTTCTAACAAAATATTGAATATCAGGTTCAATGCCACGAAACTTTTTATACATTAATTTTAGGGGATAAAAATACCAAGGAAAAAAAAAGCTTGACAATGTCAAGGGCAAAAGATTAAAAAACAAAGTAATAGATTATTAGCAATGTTTCTATAGCGCTAATTAATAGATACCGTCAAACATGTCTCTTAATGTGTATGTATCACAATTGAAAAACGACTCTCAAAACATATATTAGGTAGTCCGATCAGCAGATTGAATAATCTTGCAACATTGAAACCTTGGGTATCTTAGATGTAACCAGACAATTTTTGAGGTTGGCAGTCATATGAAGTTTGTGGTATTTCCATAAGAAACATACTGTACCATTAAAAGGTGATGCTTATTTCATGAAACACTTTGTTCTCTTCATTATTGTCTTATCAAACATATTTAATAAGTATATGCTTTATGTAAAATAACGAAAAAAATATTACAGGAAATGAATATTATGCATTTTGCTTTGTATTTATCCCTTTTTTTTGTAGCATATATATATATATATATATATATATACAGTATATTTAAGACATTAAAATTAAAATCCATGCTTAGTTGGTTGATGGTTGACCTTTTTGAAAGTTCAACAAATTATTAACATTTTCTTCAATAATAGAGTTTTTGCATTTCTCTTAGAGCGCATGTCATTTGTAATGTATTTATATTTGATTCCTAATCATTACACACATTTCTTATGTTTTTTACAACAATAATATACCTGTTAAGCAATGTTAACATATGTGTTCCATATTTTTACAGAAAATATATGCTTAAATAAAGGGGGGGGGGTGTGTTTTAAAAATCAGTCAGATAATATCCGGAAGAATCTTTACATACTTAATATCATATCCCAGCTGATCCGATGGGATCCCGATCCCATTGGTTTTCTACTCTGTCGGTATTCCTATACCGATTGGATCCCAATCCCAGTGGGAACCGCTATCCCAATAGCGTATGTTATTGTTTGAAGGCTGTTAAAAAACATTTTGTCCAATATTTTGAAAGGGAACATATATTTTTTTTTAAATTTTTAATGGAAAAAGAATTCCAATTTTGAAAAATGATTTTTTTTTCTTTTAAGAAGGGAGATGTCATGTAGGACGGGTTACGTCACGTCTTCCCCCGTGCTGCCAATGAAGCAGACACCACGTTCTTTTTATGCGTGGCCTATTTTCTTTTGCTCTGTCGTGTTTATTGCCGATTATACGTGGTTAGTTTGTCTCATAGTAGCTTTTTGGTCGTTCTTGATTTGACGAGAAACGTAAACAATGTCTAAGTCGTTTCTGGAAAGCGTCTTATGCCACATATATAAGGGATTGACAGGGACAGAGATTCGCGGATATTGATAGAGATATCTTTTAATATAAATTTTTAACTTCACAAGAAACGTGTATTATTCCGTGTGTACTCTTATGTGATTATTCGCATTCATCATTGTACATTATTAATTGGCACATTGTATTAACTGTGTAACGGTACAAGACTTCTCATACGCTGTAAGTTGATCATTGTAATTACAATTCTTTTCTTTTATAATTAGATTAATATTTAAATAAATCTTATTAGTTGTAATTAGCACTGTTTTGAGTGTCCTTGCTTTTCTATTGTAAACTCTATGGTATTGTCCTTTGTTATGCACTGTTTGAAATAGCCATCAAATTAAAATAAGAGATAAGTTCACACAATAGAAGGCAGTAAGTAACAGTCCTGCTGCTGACTTTGTTGCTCTTTTGACTTATGAGTTTACCGAGCATTTTGCTGTACATTGACTCAATTCTTTCTGCTGCTTTTAGAACTAGATTTATGTGACGGTTTCGGCCCTGAAAAATAATTTGCAAAATTTCTATTCTTGTTTTTATTTTCTATTTCTAGTAGAATCAAGCCATCTATATTTACTAATATTCTTCTAGCTAGCCATATCTCATACTACTTTAATCTTGATTTCTACTTAAACATATCGCTAGTCTGACACAGACTAGCAACGATAACAAAAATAAAGCCCAAAATTTGTTTGTCAAATTCACAGCCTAAAAATATTTATTTGAATAAATTTAGTTCGTAATTCAGTTCTAGACTCAGTGGCTTAGATAGGGTCGGTGTCTACCGGGGCGGTAAATTTATTGTGTCATCCCCCCCCCCCAACGATTTCTAAAATGGATGTGTTTTTGTTAAAATAAGTCCACAGTATAGCACTAAAGAAAACAAAACCAAATTAATTCAAGGTCAGGAGGTAAATGTATTTAAGAACTGTGTTTAAAAACTTATAGGAGCCAGAATGATCAATACCTTGATCGCTAGCCCGCAAAATATTGAAGAAGACATAAAAACATTAAGATATAATTATTTTTACATAAAATTTACATAATTACATTTTTATTCCTGGTTTTTAAAGTTGCAAATCTGTCAATCACTTTATCAAATTCAATATCCTTCACCGTATCACTTTCAACTGGTAGTAGAGCAAGCTTAGAAAGCCTTGACTTTCCCATAGTGGATCGTAAATAGGTCTTGATTAGCCTTAGTTTTGAAAAGCCGCGCTCACATGAAGCCACATACACACATCATACGAAATAATTGAATGCTCAGCGAGAGTATTGGAAGAGACTCTAGGAAGTCCCATTCAGCCATGAATTTCAAAACATCAACTACTGACCAGTTTTTGCATTTGTTAAATGCAATATCAATTAAATGTCTTCTAAGCCTTGATTTTTTCTTTGTAAGTTCCTCCTCTGATAAATAGTAGGTTAATTTTGGAACGGACGCCAATAGCATTTCTTCACTTGCTGATAGCAGACTCTGGAGTTGAACACCCCCAAACATATCTGCTGCTATGTATATATTGCTATCTATATAACTGTCGATCTCCTTTCTTTCATTATCTCCCTTTATTTCTCTCGTTGAATGTTCTTGATATTTATTATTCCGCATTTTAAGTTCAGTCCCACGTCATTCCATATGCCTGTTTTAGTATCTCTAACATTTTAATATTAGCAAAATTATATAATAGTCTATACTATATGATATATGACTTACATGAGCCTAATATGGTAATATATAAATTATTGTTTTTTTCTATATTAAGGTTTTAGGGTTAATTTTATTTAACAATGACCAACAGAATAGCAACAAAACTTGATAAACTGATGATTATTAGCAGAGCAACAATGAATGGACAAGTCAGAACTGGTACACACGGCCCCTTTAAAGACTGATGAAGGTGAGGAGAGCAACCAACCATCAAATACGGATTACAGTTATCAGAGCCACAAACCTTTGAATACAAATCATATTTAGGAAAGCAACCATGGATGAACAAGCCTCACTGCCACACATAACACCTTTAAGTACTGATGATGGGGAGTAAAGCAGCCATCCTTTATTTACTGATGATGGTTAGAAGAGCAACCAATTTCGAATAACTCAACACTGCTACACACAATACTTTTAAATACTGATGATGGTTAGGAGAGCAGCCAACATTTATTTGCTGATGATGTTATTGGGAGCAAAATAGGTTGAATAAGTAATTCCTAATAAAAATGTTTTAGATTTATCGATACCCAGCATATTTGCAGTTCAGTCCTCATGTGCCACATGGAGGCACTGGAGGCCAACATGTTTACGAAAAATCAAGAATCTTTATCACCCACCACAGGTGTCCAATTTTTGAACTTTGCAGCCAAGCTCTCAATCAATATGTCCAAATATGAAACACTGATTACACATTTTTTATAGCCACTCAAGTGAGTTTACTCTAACAGTTCATTTCCCTAGCAAAAAAAAAAAAAAAATTGTGTCAATATCAAACGTCACAGGTGTCCAATTTTTGGACTTTGCAGCCAAGCTCTAAATCAATATGTCCAAATATGAAACACTGATTACCCATTTTTTATAGCCACTCAAGTGAGTTTACTCTAACAGTTCATTTCCCTAGCAAAAAAAAAAAAAAAAAATTGTGTCAATATCAAACGATCATTTCTACTTGTAGTAGCTAAATATATCTTCCAGAATGCCAAAGAGTCTAGACACTCAGGTAATCTTTTGAAGAACTTTGAAAACCGAGGCCGAAAATATCAAATTTTTGTAATGAAAACTGATAAAAAAACTTGCACTATTCCTAGGACCTTTAATAAATATATACGTGTATACACATTTAAATGTTAATTTTGTTCTTGTGTTTTGAGTTTTAATATTACTTTTAAATTTAAAAGTTCATACTTGACTTGTCTTCGTATTACAAAAACATCAGCAACAAAAATAAATAAACCAACAAACAAGCAAAACTGTTGTGTGCAATATTCATGATTGTTAGCTCAGTTATGCATATAAGTCAAGATATATATATATACATATATCCTTACATTGTAAGGCCGTATTATTTATTTACCACAATAAACTTGCCTTAGGATGCTGGGTTGCGAAATCGTCTAAACTGTGCAATTCTCATGTTGGTGGTCTCGAGTTCAAGTCCAGTCAAAGCGCCAACACATCACCATCACCCCTGGGCGTCTTCTAAGAAGTTGAAAGGTCCATAAGAGATATGGATTTAGTGGTAGACCTGTATTCTATTCTTTATTTTTAGATTGTTATTCCTATTATATTTAAATTAATAAAGTACATTTATGCAGAGCGCCGATGCTCTTCATTTTATTCAACGGTGCGTCGAATCTACGACTTGTTTTAACACATTAAAAAAAAATTCTACTAGACCATGAACTTGTCCTAATTCATCAAACACCATAGGGGGCGTAAACATCGTACATGTATATTATGGTCTGTTTAATGTATTGAAATAGCCTAGTTCTCCTTTTAAAAAAGTCTTTGATTTTAATCATATTTCATTTTTGTTTAAATACAGTTTAAAATTCGTATTGATTTTATTCCAAAAGGATAATACTTAAGTAGCTCTATTTGAGTCAGCTTTAAAAAAAATAGATTTTAAAAATAAATATTTATATTGCAAACAGAAATAAATTAATTAATGCTAGAAATAAATCAAAGAGTTGGCTGTTTTATGTTTCTTTATTCAATGCATAGTCTTGAACAAAATAAATAAATCAATAAGAAGGTTTAAACCATATATTAATTTTTTTGTTATCAACTGTCACCTACCATTTTATCACACTACATATACCCCTATTATTTTAACTTTACAAAAAAATATTTTAATTAATGATAATCCTACAGTAACTAAATCATTTTTATCTTCTTTATTATCTTTGATTTGTTTCAGACTTGTTGCTAAGCCCAAATAAAAAAGACCACATAGCTGTATACGAAAATTATCAAACGTGCAACCTCTACAACTGGGCCAATTTTATAGGAAAAGACATTGCGAACTTCACTGCAACTTCTGAGATTTATATTGCCTGTCAGATTCCTTATTGGTGTAAGACATTTAGAAAAAATTTTATTTTAAGATGTTTTGATCAAGTTTTCCTCTTCTGAGTAATTTCAATGTGAGGCCAATACATAAATCAATCAATCAATATATATGTATATTACCAATTCATGGAATGGGCATTTATTTCAAACTGTAAGAGATTCCTTAACAAAACAAACGAGAAAATGTTTCACACCCGTTTAAACCAC